TTGGGATAGAACATGCCAGCTGCACTGTACAGATTGCCCAACTGAATTGAAAAGCTCTAAAAATGATTTTCTTTGCAACCTGGAATGTAATAAGTCATAACTTATACTCCTGAAAAAATTAAAATAAAATACATGAAAATTTGACACACACCTGTCACCTGTCAGTGGCAATACAAGTTTCGTCCCTCGGCCTTCTGAGAATATAATAAACGACACTCGCACACCAGTTCTAAAATACAACGCACATTAACAGGTACATGTAAAAATAAGGATGTTGCCTTGTGCACATCAATTTTAAAAAGCACATAATACATGTAGTCCCATTTCGTCCAACATTAGGGCTTACTATTATCAACGCTAGGGGTGAACTGCTAGAGGCTGCAAAATCTCTTGAAGTGCTTGTGACAAGGTTAAACACTAGTTACACTCTTGACTTGAGATTGGATGTTATTGCAAAGCATGGCAATGGTAGCGATGAAATTGCTGGGAGATGACCAAGTAACACCTTGTGTCAAAAAAATATGTCTCGTGGGCATTATATGTAACGTTTCGAATAGAAAAACATCGTATAGTGAAACATTTTGCTTTCTTGACAAATGTTTGCTATCAATAATTTAAAACTGTATTTTATCTCTCTGCTTCAAGTAACTTTTTTTTTTTTGAGAACTGCTGATTGGCCCACGACCACCTTTCCTGAAATGGATTGTTATCTTCCTGTAATCCGATTGGTTAACTTTGCCTATGTGGCTGCGGCTACAGTAGTTGCACTGTAAAGCCATATTTTCATTCCAATTTTGTTACCTCTGTGCAATCCTGAGAACTCCCCTTAGCAGTAATGTGATGTAGATTACATGCTACATGCTTAAGATGTTAAGGAAAAAATTAACGTATAATAAAATAAAACAAAATGAGCATTCCAGAACAAAAATTGTACATTTTACTTCACTGCTGTTTCACCTACCCAGCATAATTTGCAACTGTCCCTTCCACAAAGTCAACCGTCTGCCGCTGGAAATTAGCAAGCAAAACACTTCCAGATCTAAGTGAAAAAAGTAGGTTTATCTAAGACTTTCTTACAATATAAATATTATAGCCAATGAATGTAGTGTAAATTGCTCAAGCCACAGTGGAAATTAATAAATCAATATCTCTATTTGACCTACAGCTGTAAGTGCATGCACTGTAGAATAAACACCTTACCAGTGTGCAAAGAAAGTCAAGTCTGGTAGTCCAAGGCTAGGGGATTTTGCTATTTGGATCTTACGAGAGTGAATTCTGTTCCTAAATTGTCCAGCAGGCAAGCTAAGTTATTTGGGGGGATTCAAATTATAGAAGAGCTGTAGCCAATCCTGCTTGTCAAAACTATTTTAGGGCTAGTTAAAATGACTATTGGCATGCACATGTACATGCCAGCTGCAGATTGCCCGAAAGCTTTAAAACTGACTTTCTTTGTAGCCTTGTTCTCTCAGTCCACTGACTTGCGACTGTGACGGGGTGGCTTAGGATGATTTGGGAACTTTTTATGTTGGGGGGATGGGGCGGCAGGGGGTAATGAGAAATGGTAAAGATTGTGGTGCGTGATAGAAAAACGAAATTTTCAAAACTCGATCCCTGTATGTTTTTTCTCTTATCAATTCTATCTAGCAGAGGAGTGTTCTTTATGTACTGATCGAAAATGTGACAGATCGTTAATTTTCATTTTCACACCTCACCTTACCAGTGTGCAAAGAAAGTCAAGTCTGGTAGTCCAAGGCTAGGGGATTTTGCTATTTGGATCTTACGAGAGTGAATTCTGTTCCTAAATTGTCCAGCAGGCAAGCTAAGTTATTTGGGGGGATTCAAATTATAGAAGAGCTGTAGCCAATCCTGCTTGTCAAAACTATTTTAGGGCTAGTTAAAATGACTATTGGCATGTACATGTACATGCCAGCTGCAGATTGCCCGAAAGCTTTAAAACTGACTTTCTTTGTAGCCTTGTTCTCTCAGTCCTGACTTGCGACTGTGACGGGGTGGCTTAGGATGATTTGGGAACTTTTTATGTTGGGGGCGGGGGGATGGGGCGGCAGTGGGTAATGAGAAATGGTAAAGATTGTGGTGCGTGATAGAAAAACGAAATTTTCAAAACTCGATCCCTGTATGTTTTTTCTCTTATCAATTCTATCTAGCAGAGGAGTGTTCTTTATGTACTGATCGAAAATGTGACAGATCGTTAATTTTCATTTTCACTGTGCTCACTCAAAATGTTTGTTTGAACAATTGTGGGCATTCATTAAAATTCTAGCGAGTTACGCTTAATTGCCTATGGCTCACTTCTGCCTTGAGACCAAGAATTGAAGCTTCAGCAGGTAGACTGAACTTGTCTCTTTAAGGGATCGAAGGCTTCAGCTTAGCAGGCACAGCTTTTAATAACCACAGACAATTTTTTTTTTTTGGATAATAATTTACACGTTATTGTGCTGACAACACTAGGTATAGTTACTCCTGGTTACTAGCACTGTGT